AATAAATCCAGAGAAACAAGTCCAAGTCTAAGTATTTTATGATGGTTATAATAAAAATGCCAGTAATTGTAGAAATAAATGTCTGTGAATTACATCCTCAGAAAGACTCAACGTTTCATTGAAATGGCTTTAATTACTGTAATACCTCCTAAAGATCATCATAAGTAAATATTACCAGTTCTTGGTTAAAACTGAAGGAGAATGTGGGCTGGCCCTATAGCCTAGTGGTTAAGGGAGGAGAATTCCCGATGGCTGACTGTAGTTCGAATCTTGACTCCACTGGCTTAAAAAACATGTACGTGTGTTTAGAATGGAGAAATGGGAGAAAAGGGACTGTGATATGACCATACTGCACTGGGGGTGATTTTTCCTTTTCTATCTCTCTCTGTCTCTTTCTGGTGAATTACACGCATCTTCTGGAAATTAAAAATTTAAAAAAAAAAAAAGAAAAGGGAATGTAATAGGTTCTGGAAAATTTTTTAAAAAGAAAAAAAAAAAAAGAAGAAGAAGAGAAAAGAATCATCTAAACCAGAACAAGACACTTGGGTCCTTACTCTGTCAACAATCTGACTTGATGCTTGATTATTCTTTTGGAATGGAAGGCCTTTCCCACACCAGGCCCATTCATTTTCCAATCTCTTGTACATAAGTCTTCTGTTTAAAATAAAACACCTGCCACAACTCATATTACGACCATTCCTATCACTCTGCTGCCTAAATATTAAATATTATGCACTGAAACTACTAAACTTAAGCTCCAGTCCCAAGAGGTAAGTTTAATAGTAGCTTTAAGGTAATGTGAGTTATAAAGGAAGTTGAGTATTAATTATAACACTTGCCATTTAAAAAAAAAAAAAAACTTGGTGGTGCATGTAATTTTGCTTCATTTTCTCATTTGCTACTGTTATTTAAATCGCTTTCCAGCACTAAGCATCTGTATAAAAGATGATTGTTCCAAATTTAACCTTTAAAATAACATGTATTCTATTAATTGAGTCATTACAATTCCCTCTCTTTTCTATTAAGTTTATTCATTTGTCTTCCATCCTAAAGATAGACATCTGTGTCAGTGGAGAGAGACCCCTAATTTTATGCCTTTCACCCATTTGGATTTTCTACACTGTTTTTTAAAGATAGTTTATATTAGTGTTCTAAAGAATTTCAAATTGTAGATTAACATAAGGATAAGTTTTCCTTCTAGGGATAATAGACATTATTTGACAAAAAAGTTAAGAAGGTACTTTGTGAATCCCAACTGGGGCTGAGAAATTTGTAATACTTAAATTGGCTTGAATTAAAAAAAAAAAAAGAGAGAGAGAAAGAAAAGAAAAAGCAAAATAGACAAAAGCAAAATAACAACAAGCCAAAAGCCTTAGCTTTATGTGAATTTTTTAAAGAATATTTATACATACTAAGACAAGACATTCTATGCTTTTTTTGCCTTTCCATCAATATGAGATGAACTAGGATCCATGCAAACTGAGAGGTGATATCTGCATTGTGCTAAGTGCTCTTGCATATGTTTATTTTTTATTTAGTTCTCACATCTTCCTGTTTTTAATCCCCATTTCATATGGGGAAATTGAGGTTAGAAACAACTTAGTGGGAGCAGCAGATGATGTGGAGGTTAAAGCACTGGACTCCCATACAAATGAGTGCGGTTTGAGTCCTATACTTGGAGGTTTGAAAATCATGCTGGGCATGTGTGTGCGCATGCTCAAAATCCCAGGAGGAGAATGAAGAATGGATTGCAACATGGTCACCCACCGAGGGGGTGATTTCTCACTTTCCTTCTCTCTGTCTTTCTCCAGTGAGCACACACTCCCTATGGCAAAAACCTTCAAAGAAATCAAACTTAGTAACTTGCCTGGTAACACCAGAATTCAACCTATATCTGACTTCTTATTAGAAATCATATTATCATGTCTTTCTATTCAGTTTATTAACAATTGTGAAATGCTTAAATTTATTAAGCATTTACTGTATAATCTTCTAATTATTTTCCATGTACATATGTAAACTTTACCCCAAATCTATGGGGGAAGCAAGCAATGTTTTGGTTTTCTTTTTAAGAATTATTTAATTTTATTTATTTATTTATTTTAATTTGACCAGAGAGGGACAGAGTGAGAGAGCATGAGAGAGACGGAAAGTGAGAAAGCAAGCCACTAGGTCCAGGACTCGAACCGTGGTTGGCCATGTGGGAGTCCAGCGCTCTTAGCTGCCACACTTCCTGCTGGCCCCAACAAGCAATGTTATCTTCCATTTCTATGTGATTAAATTGAGACAAAGTAAAAAAAAAAAAAAAAAAAAAAAAAAACTTCCACAAAACTAGTTAAGTTCTCAAGCCAAGATTCTAATTCAAAAAGATGATTTGTTACTTGTGAAACAAGGATGTATATTTTAACTCAAACCCACTAGAAGTATAGGTTTCTGAATATCTTCATATTACAGCTAACACTTATACATATTGGATACCACAAAAATGTCTATTAATAGTGTATATTCAAATAATAAAAGATAATAGTTTTCTAGCATATAAGCATTTTCTTATATTTAATGTATGCTTTTCAGATAGCAGCTTTTCTATGACCCTCCTCATAAGTCTAGTGGTATGGATAAGAGTACCATGTTGAGGTTCTGGTTCCTCCATTTCCGGGGTGTGCATCAATTTATCTGTAATGCAAGGATATTAATAATTCCTGTCTTTCTAAGTCATTGTGTGTATTGAATGAATTAAAGTACCTAGGGCAGAACTTGCATATTATAAGTACTCAATAAATATAAGCTTCTGTTATTATTTTTAATCATTTATCATTACTTTCCATTATTTTTCCATTTGAACTATCGATTTTGTGTCTGTTTTTATAGCCTATGAAAGACAAAATTTGGCTCACAATCAATTAAAAAAAATGCTCTCCATCTTACCTCCCAACTGGAAATACAACAAAAGTCCAACAAGATTTTTAAGAATTGAGAACAGAATAATTATAAACCTGAGACTAGTGTAGCGTTCAGGACAGTGGAAGAGGTTCTTGCTGGCAAATTTTACCTCATTTTGCTTCAACTCTTAGCACCAGGGTTTTACAGAATAACACAGATAGCAGCTCATGGTTAAAATGAGTAGCTATTGATGAATACTGGAGTGGTAATCCTTTCAGACATTCTTAAAAATTAATAAGTTTGCATCTTTGTTCATAAAGGATATTGGTTAGTAGTTTTTATGTGTACTTTCCCGATATTAGTGTCAGAGTAACACTAACCTCTTAGAGTAAGTTAAAATAATACCTCCTCTTAATTCTCTGATAGAGTTTCTGTAGAAGCGAAATTGTTTCTTCCTTAAATGTTTGGTGATGGTTGCTGGTTTGACTGAACCAGCTGGGCCTAGTTTTCTTTGTGAGAAAGTTTTAGTTAAAAGCTAATTTTTAAAAATGTAACTATAGAGCTATTTATGTTATCTATTTTTTTCGATACAAGCTTTGGTAAATTGTGACTTTCAAACATCAACTCATTTTAAAAAACTATTCATTTTATCACAGCTGTGTCAATTGAGACTTTAATTATCCCCATTTTTAAGGCAAGAGCACTCTTTATATTATAATTGATGACTCGAGTTATAATGTTTTCTACTCTGACCATTGGAAACAGATACCATTCTTAACCTGCATGACTTTAGATTATGTTCTGTTTCTATTTTTTTTTATGTTTTGTTTTTGTTTCTATTTTATTTTTGTTTGGCCAGGTGTTGAGTAATTTCCTCATACATATGTGACCACCATTGTTAATTAAATTATTAGATTACTGGGAAAGTCATGACGTATTTTTCTATGTTTTTCTATGCAAAAATAGATCCAACTTTCCTGACAACTTAATATAAAGAGAGTCTCTGAAGTTATCCAAAAGAATTCTGTATAGCTCTCTAATAGCATGTCCTTAAGGTAGGGGTGTTGCTGGGCTCTGCTTGTGTTTCCCTCACTGCACCATTGCCTAAAAATTTTCTTCAGACAGTAAACAAGGGTAATTGTGGGGCTCACTTCATTTGTTTTTCAACAAATGGTAGTCATTGCTTTTTGCTGTCTGATGGATGTCATCATCTCACATTCTGCCTAGTTTTTACACTGTTTTGGGGAGAATTCTAAATCAATTCCTTTTTACTCTATTTGACCAGACACAGAAGTTCAGTCCTTGAATACTGACTATGCATATTGCTGTTATGCTCAGAATTTTATTATAGAGGGACCAGCAGTTGGCATAATGGCTATATTGCTGGACTCCCATGTAGTTGACAGCGGGTTAAGTCCTGGACCCAGTGGCTTAAACTCATGCACAGCACATGCGTGTGTGTGCCCAAGATCCCAAGAGAAGAATGGAGAAGGGATTGTAGTGTGACCGTAGCCCCGGGGAGGTGATTTCTTCCTTTCTGTATCTGTCTCTCTCTTTCTTTCTGGCGAGTGTACATGTCTTATAGCAAGAACCTCTCCGAAAAAAAAAAAAAAAAGAATTTTATTATAGATTATACACATTTATGCTCCTAAGTTGATCTTTCCCTTTTGGAGAAAGAAAACTACATGGAGGCAACTACCCTGTTAACTATTAAAAATTTTTGAAAGAATTATTTTATTCAACTACATCTATTTAAATTTGACCAGAAAGAGGAACAGAGAGAGAGAAAAAAAAGTGAGAAAGCAAGCCACCAAGTCCAGGACTTAAACCACGGTTGGCGATGGGAAGTCCAGCACCTTTAACCACCTGCCACCTGCTGGCCCCACTATTAAGAATTTTTTAAAAATAAAATGATATTCATTGAAGATCTAATAAACATATTTTTATAGCTTTAGAACATCTACCAATAAAAATAAAGTTAAACTGAGAGAAAATGAATTCTCAAATCTTTGCCAGTAAAAGATTTCACTTATTATGGATCTATACTAATTTATTATCCAAAAAAAAGTCTGATTTATAAGCATATCTGATCCTGTCCTTTTATTTTTTCTCCTCAGTGCCAGATGAAAGCAAAGTTCATTCATTGGCTGGACACAAATTGGGTAAGAAATTCCTTGTAACAGACTTTCTATTCTCCTTCCTGGAAATCACTGGCTGTGTTTTAGTAGCAGTTGGAACCTGTTTCTATCCACTAGTCAGTGAAAGGCTTTCTAATTAATACATGAGATGTCTCGGACTTCCACGAAGATAAATTATTGCTTGGCTGTGTGTACTGTGGCATAATGAATGCTGACTCAAAATGTTTGAGATGAAAGCACAAACGTTTCCAAAAAAATAATTATAAAACCAAAAATCTGAAACCCAACTGAACACTTAAAACAAGAAGTGAGTTGTAAAAGAAAATCCAAGAAAGTTCTAAGTTCTTTCCTCTGATGACTTCCACACGAACACAGTGGGACAGAGTTTCAGAGCAAGAAAGATGTGGTCATTACTTTCTCCTCAAAAAAGAAGTCTTTTGGCTTGTCATCCAAGGGATTGTGACAGAGGTGACAGCATTATCTTTCTTTAGACTTGTGAATGAGTCCCTGGATGTTCTCTAAGAAGGTCGACAAGGGTTTCTCGGGGTCTCCTAGGTCTTTCTCTAGCATATGTGAGATACCTTCACTTCTGAAACCCTGAGTTTTCCTTCACGTCCAAGTAGCCAGGTTTTTATTTCTTCATCCTCCCTTCCTTCATCATCATTTATTCATTCATATTAGTTGAAAACACTTAAATGCTACAGTAATCCCTTTCCTCTAGGGGTGCATTATCTGGGAGAAGAAAAATACCTACTTTACTCTCAGAATTGCCACCTCCAAACAACAGAAGGATTACGAATTGTTGGCATCCCTCTGTTTCTGAAACAAAGAAGTCTTTCTTGTCACTGAGCGTCCCCTGTGTTTATGTGACAATTATGTTTTCAGCAGTGAGTGGCCTTGATGCCTCATTACCTCCATCATGTTCCAGGGCAAGATTATGATTTCTTCTTTCCATCTTTCCCTTTTTTTTGTGATAACAGCAGGGAAGTGCTGGTTCATAACTGTTAGATTTTTTTTTCCTGCTCCTCTTAATAAAGACCCTAAGAGGTTAGATCACTGAGAAAGAAAAGATTTTCATGGAAGTGATAAATTGCCACATGCCGTTTCTTTCCATCATCCTCTTTTAAGTTCTTACTACTACAAGTGTTTTTGGAACCTGAGAAGGAGGTTCTCATGACCAAGGAGCCCCTAGGATAGCCTGAATTAGTTTCATCTTTAATGCATGGCACCTTTTGTAGTTCTCTAACACAATTCATACTTGAAAAGGCCTTTTTTATACACTGGGAAGGCTTCAGGGCAAAAAATAAAGTGAGTCTTAATGTTGGTCAGTTTGTTGGGGTCTTCTACTGCCAAAGTCTCTAACACAATTCATACTTGAAAAGGCCTTTTTTTATACACTGGGAAGGCTTCAGGGCAAAAAATAAAGTGAGTCTTAATGTTGGTCAGTTTGTTGGGGTCTTCTACTGCCAAAGAATACATGTTTGTGAATGAGGATAGGGGAGGAGGAGGAGACGAGAAGGTAAGAGCATCCCTCAATGGCACCTGCGCACGACACACTTCTTTTCCTTCCAATTCTCCCTCCTAGCAGGTTCCTGGGCATGTGTGTGTACATCTAGTATGGAACTGGTGGAGGTGGGATTTGGTTGGTCATGTGGGATCTGGCTTTCTCTGCATAGTGCCTAAGTGCTCTGCCACAGAGCTAGCCCCAACTTGGTTTTTGAAAGCAAACAAATAATAAGCTTTTTGGCTTTTCCCAGGAAATCAAATCTTATTCTAATCTAGTCAGTTTTTAAGAAAATTAGTCAGTGTTTAAATGTTATTTTCAGTCTTTAAATGAGAACATTGTCATTTTAGTATATTGCTGTAATATTTTAGGTGAATTTGAATGATCTATTCTTTACATAGTAGGATGTAAGAAACATTAATAAAGAGCTACTCTAAGAATAAATTCAATATAATAACCTACCAACTTAAAAAGAAATGGACAAAAGTGGCAAATTTAAAGATATAGGTGGCAGACCAGCAGTTGGCGAGGAGGTTAAGGTGGCTGGGTTCCACATGGCTGGCTGTGGGGTTCAAGTCTTGGACCTGGCAGCTTGAAAAATCACACTGGGTGCATGTGTGTACATGCCCAAAATCCTGAGAGGAGACTGAAGGAGATGGGATCTCTCTCTTTCTCTCTCTCTTTCTCTCTCTCTCTATTTGTCTCCTTCTGGAGAGCACTTTTTTTGTAGCAAAATAAAGAAATAAATAAATAGAAAAATAAAACAAAGATGTTGGTAGATTATTTATAAACTTCACAGTGCAACTTGACTTAGCTGGTAGATACAAATACTATCAATAGTCTTTATATCACATAAACCAAGCTGTTTAAATATATCAGATGTTTTATAGATTTCTATTGCTAATGCACTATTATTCCAATATTCACTATTCCTATATCTAAATTGTTTTATATCCTACCATCACCTTATTGAGGTTTTCATTGGACATCTGTGGGGCCAGTGCAAATGCCAGAAAACAACCAGAAATTTGATGACATTGGAACAAAAAAGTAGCATTCAATGAAGAAGGCTAAATGAGCACCTAAAATTATATACTCTAGAGTTATGTTAGATAAGGGCTTCTTGGAAAACATTAGTTCTTAGAAAATACAGAATGACATTAAGGAGAAATATGTGATTAAGGTTATAAATTTGTACACTCTAAGACTATACCCTTCTCCAATCATTCTTCTGTTCTTCTGTTAAGTGGTGTCAACTGACTGAATTTAGGATCATGGCAATGGAGAGAACTAATATTCTGACTGGTTCTTTTCTTGCTTCTGAAATGGCATGGTGCTAAGTTTGAATTCATGTTCTGATCCCCCCCTGATGAACCTAAGAATCTGAAAGAGGAATGCTGGCCCAGCATTGCTTTGATTTGAATGTGTCTCCCAAATATCCAGTAAGCTATTGTGATGGTATTAAGAGGATGGAAACTTAACCCGTTGTGGTATTAAGAGGTGAGGTTTGGGCCAGCAGATGGTGTAGTGGTTTTGTTGCTGGACTCTTATGTGGTTGACTGTGGTTGAAGTCCTGGACCCGGTGGCTTGAAACTCACACTGGGCTCATTTGCATGCATGCCAAAAACATTTATTTTGATGTAGGAGGGACCTGATTTTGAATCATCAGCCTCAGAAACTCATCCTCATATAAAATGCAACTCCCTGAGTGTGTTGCTTTTATGAAGAGGAACTTCTTATCAGGATATATTGTTGGTGATGATAGTGATAATGGCAGGAATTAAGGGTCCTTTTTATGCTCACAATCTCTTTCAGTTACAAAATTATTTTTAAAATTCACTTAATATGTGATTATCGTCCGGTCCCCTAGATGTCTGTGTCCACTAAGATAAATGTTCCAAGGTTGTATTTTAACTTGTCAAGTTCTAGAATCATACTCATCAATGTTAAAGGATCACTCAATTTCTTTCTGTCCCAATGTCCTTTCTCCTTCCTCATGTCCTCTTTACAATATTTAAGTAAAGAGGAAATTTTATTTTTACTAAGAAAGAAGAGTTTTTCCCTTTAATTATAGAAATGTAGACAAGTCCCATTCTACCTAAGACCATCAGGAAGTTAAAGAAATGAAATTATATGTGCTGACCTAAATCTATCATCCATCTTTTTATTTGGGATGATATTCAACATTTTAATAAATTCATCTGACTTAAAATTTCTTCTGAGTCAGCTACTTAGTGTGTAAAGAGCCATTTTTGTGCCAAGTTCCATCTGTTGGTCTGGCTTGGGTACCTCCCAAAATTGTGACAATATTCTTGGCAGCCTTCCTTGGCTTTCTCTTTAAATAGTTGATTCCCTAGAGCTCAGATCAAACCAAAATCCCAGATAAGATAAATCTTTCTAACATTTTTGGCCCAAACTGTAGTGTCCCCTCACCCCTTCTGGAATCAATCCAATATTCTCAAGATTCCTCTAATGACCTACTTTGGGGCTTCCCCTCATACTATATTGCATCTCATTACCTTGGCAAGGAAGACAGAAGGATGATCCTCCTATTTATTATCTTGCAGGGTCTTCTTCCATATATGAGAGGTATTCCTGTCTATGGAATGATAAGTGACACCCAGAGACGATAGCAATAAAATGCCTTTTGTTCAGTTTCTTTAAGAAAAATCTTGAGTTTCAAAGAGTCTTGAAAAAAAAAAAAAACTTCAAATCTTTCCCTGTCTGACTAATTATTTTCTGACAAAATTCATATCCTAGCAATGCAGGAGGTGAAAACAATCCATAAAATGTATGTGGTAGTTGTTTGTTTTAGTTTTTCCTGTAGGATACATAATCTTGCCAGAGACAGAGATAGAGAGAGAAAGGAAAAGTGAGAAATCAGCTCTCAGGGGTGATGGCTGTGCTGCAATCCTTTCTCTTCCAGTCTCCTCTTGGGATTTGGGGCACACATGCACATGTGCCAGCATGATTTTAAAGTCTCTGGGTCTGGGACTCAAACCATTTAACCGGCCATATGGGATTCAGTACCTTAACCTCCATTCCACCTGCTGGGCTTAAATGTATGTTTTAAACAATAAAAACATTTTTTAAAGTGACTTTAATATTCTGAGGGAACGTCAGAATCAAGAGAAAATGGCATCAAATTTGGTATAGCTTTTTTGTTTGCTTGATGCTTTAATTTTGGTCATACTTGGCGTCAAAAGTATGTCTGAGAAGAAATCTTTTCTTCCTTACATTTTTTTTGATAACTAAACCAAAAGTTTAATGCTCCTTTACATTCAGACAGAAAGGGCTTATAAATTTTACTTTTTTTTTTTTTTTTTTTTTTTTGTTGTCTTTTCTTTCTTTCCTTTTTTTTTTTTTTTTTCTTTGTTTTGATTTACTGCTTGGAACTGTTTTAATATGTATTGACTATCTGCAGAGATCTTTGCTGACCCAGCTCTTTAAGATGATGCAGTACTGAAGAAAGCCGATGAGTTCTTCTTTATGGGCCCTGACATATTAATTAGCAAAATGG